AGACAAAGGGGCTCCACTCGAGCGTGGCTTCTCGAGCGGACTGTAAGCTACAGTAAAAAATACTGGATGCACAAAAATCACGCTCGACGGGCGCTCGATCCACGCTCAAGCGTGAGACACAAGTCCTCGCTCGAGTGTGAACTCTCTCGTTTGAGCGGACTGTAAACACATGCAAAGTACTGGATACATGCATTTCACGCTCGAGCGCCACTTTCCTCGCTCAAGCGGACAGCATAAACACAAGGTGTACGCTCGAGCGTAGAGTTCGTCGCTCGAGCATGAGTCCAAAATCTGGAATTTTCAGATTTGAACCTCAAGTTCAAAAATAACTTTAAATGTATCAAATTCGATCCTTTTGGGCTAATTTTCTGGAAAACACTTGTAAACTCATAATATGACATGTTTCAAAGATCAATTTGAGAAATCAAAGCCCAAAGGTAGTTCAATTAAACACAAATTCATTTTAAACTTTAAGAACATGATCAAACATAACATGCATGTGTTCTAATGAGTTCAAAGCTTCTAATACATGCTCCAATGAGCCAAATCCCTAAAAAACAAGATGATTTCATGATCTAAAATCAAGATATGGACATGCATGTAACAAATTTCATGAAAACAACCTCAAAATGCTAGAACATGTACATGCATGCATTATTTAAGCTTCAATTCAACAATCTAAACCAAAACTTGACTTTAAAACTCTAACCTTCCAAGGACCATGCAAGAACTAACTTAACTCACAATTAAGAAGACAAATTCCATACCTAGGTTCCTCAATTACAAGAATGAGAGCTCAATTATGCAATCAACCTTCAATTGCTTCAAGTCTCCAAGTCAAGTTTGATGAATTCAAGCCTATCCTCCTACTCTCTCTCTCTCAATCAGTTTGTCTCTCAAAATGGCTGAGCAAGAGGTATGTCTATGTGTATTCAAGCCTCAAGGTGTTGGAGAAAGTGGCCCACTAAGCATGGCAATTTGGTGAATAAGTCCAACTCTTGTAAATTAGCATTATTTAATCTAATTTAAACATACCAAATCATATTTCAATTAAATATACCATAAAATTACATAAATTTTAGTCAACACATAACACTAATCATTTTCAGATTCGGCCACCGGTAAGGCCTTCAATTTGCAGTTTAAAACATAAAAATGAATAGATAATTTAGCAGTCAAACAGATAGACATGTATTTAAACTAATACACTCAATCAATCAGTCAGAATTTCAGTCAATCAGTCACTTAACATGCTTAATCCTAGATTAGCACTAAATAGTGGTGAGGGTTGTCACAGTTGCGATGCTTAAACCCATAGGGGCGGGTTTGGGTCGTGACAACAGATTACTTCATAAAATGGGTCGAAGCTTAGGCATTAACGCACATTCGAGATACTGATGTTAAGCGCTTTGTATGGAGAAATATCATAACACGATTCGGCATTCCAAGAGCACTTATCTCAGACAACACACCCAATTTGGCTTGAAGCCTCTAACAAATCCATCTTGGACGGCATCAAGAAAAGGCTGGAGAAAGCTAAAGGCAAATGGGTCGAAGAATTACCGAGTGTATTGTTGGCTCATTGAACTATGCCGAGGCGATCCACTAGAGAAACGCCGTTTGCTTTGTGCTTTGGAACCCAGGCGATCATACCCCTAGAGATCAGCCACCCAACCCTGAAATCGTAAGTTTTTGATATGGGCCGAAACGACATGATGCTGGCTTTGGATTTGATTCTGATCGAGAAACGAAGAGACCGGGCCCTTGCGTCCATGACACGATACCAGTAACAGCTCTCTAAGTCGTACAATCAACGTGTTCAGCTACGCCGCTACACACCAGGAGAGTTGGTCCTGAAGAAAGTACTTCCAGCTGCCAAGAAACCGGCTGATGGAAAATTGGGTCCTAACTGGGACGGCCCCTATCAGGTTGATTCGATCGCGAGAGTAGGGGCATATCGGCTCAAAGACATGTCTGGAAGGAGTCTGTCACGGCCTTGGAATTCAACGCACTTGTGAAAATTTTATCATTAAACCCAACATGTGGGGAATGATACTAGTTTTGAATGGTTCACCATGTACACAGTTTGCTTTTGTAATGCAAAGATTCCTGTTTACATATTGCAAAATCCAGTTGCAAAGTGTTTCGATAAAGCCTCTAGATTCGAAGCGCCCTTCGTGGATATCATGATTGGCCAAATAAAGTCTCCAGATTCGGAGCTCCATCGGCGCATGATGCCATTGGGCCGATAAAGCCTCCGGATTCAGAGCGCCCTTCGTGGATACCACGATTGGCCAAATAAAGTCTCCGGATTCGGAGCCCCATTGGCGCATGACGCCTTTGGGCCGATAAAGCCTCCGGATTCGGAGCGCCCTTCGTGGATGTCACGATTGGCCAAATAAAGTCTTCGGATTCGGAGCCCCATCGGTGCATGCCACCTTTGGGCCGATTAACGCCCTTCGTGGATGTCACGATTGGCCAAATAAAGTCTCCGAATTCGGAGCCCCATCAGCGCATGCCGCCTTTGGGCCGATTAAAGCCTTCAGATTCGGAGCCCCATTGGCGCATGACACCTTTGGGCCGATAAAGCCTCTGGATTCGGAGCGCCCTTCGTGGATATCTCGATTGGCCAAATAAAGTCTCCAGATTCGGAGCCCCATCGGCGCATGACGCGTTTAGGCCGATAAAGCCTCTAGATTTGAAGCACCCTTCGTGGATATCACGATTTACCAAGATTTAAGTCTCCAGATTCGGAGCCTCATCCGTACATGGCATTTTTGGGCCGATTAAGACTCCGAATTCAGAGCGCTCTTCGTGGATATCCCGACTAGCCAAAATAGTCTCCCAAATTCGGAGCCCCGTCGGCGCATGGTGCCTTTGGGCCGATTAGTCCTCCAGATTCAGAACGCCGTTCAGGCATAACACTTATGGGCCGAATAATACTCCAGATTCGAAGCGCCCTTCGCGACGAAGGTTAAAGTGGAATGCTCCGTTAAGTTGAGCCAGCAAAAACAATTTACACATCGAAGCATATAGACATTCAAAATGAAGTGCCTATTTAACTTCGGCCGGAGCAACAGCATAAACAAATTAAGACATTCGAAATAAGATGCCTAATTAAGCATGTAAAAATTCAAAATGAACCACAAACATTTAAAATAAAACATTTTATTCAATTAGACAGTAATTACATAATCTTGCACGCAATCTGCGTTCGAACATTACAATATTTATTTTTATACAGCGTCTCCTTCGTCATCACTCTTCTCGACTTCGAAGGCAGAAAATGGGAAATGATCGCGTTGGTATAGCGGCAACGCCGAATTAACGCCTGCTGCTCGGAAAGCCACCGCGGCTTGAAATGCCTTGATCCAACCATGCTAAAATCCACGATTTTCACATCGACAAATTTCCTCGGCAAGCTTTTCCCTGGTCTTCTCTATCCCAACCTTTCGGTCGTCGTGAAAGCCTTTTTCATAACCCATGGTCCTTACATTTTTTACGGCAAACATGCTTGTCATATCTCGGTCGGCAATCGCGTGACTTAACTGTCGTTGCGTCACTCTCTCCTCCACGACCGGGTTAGACTGACCTGCCGCACGTGCCTCGGTGGTTTGAGCCTTCCTAAGCTCCCTAAGCTCACGCTCGGCCTTCTCCGCGCGAGCCTCCAAACTTCAAATTCGTTCGTCTTTCTTCTTTATCTCTCGTCACACGGCACGCAGGCGCATGCCGACTTCATAAGCGGTATACAGCCCTTTCACCACCCCATGGATGTCTTCCCGAAATACTTCGAAATCCTGTCGACCAACCATCGACTGCTGGACTTCCGGTGGAAAGATCTGTCGAGCGAACTTGACTGCTACACCTAGGTCGTTGACGATAGAATCCGCCTCCGTCATTGGTTTATTTCCCACGAAAACTGCAAAACTCAACGATCGCGGTGTCTCGTCGGGTTCGTTTCTCGGTCGCGGTCGCGGGGAGCTTCCCCGTTGCTGTTTTTCTTTTGGGGTGATCTGTTTCGACGACTTGGGGGCTGACGTTTTTCCCGTTCCCTGGACGTCCTCCCTCCCGTGCGGGTAAGTTCACTGCCACGATTCATTGCAGTGTCTAGCTCAGCCAATGTTCGTCCCTCTTCTCTGCTGTTGAAGAACAGTCTATTTGACATTTGCACTTGTCTAAAGCTAGTTCAGATTGAGTCTGAATGCGATAAGTGGAACCACTAGCGTGAAGAACTCACCCCATTTATTCCTAATGTATGCAGCGCACCCGAGGCGACTTCATTAATGCTAAACTCCAAAAGCCCGATGCCGATCAGATTACTCCATGAATTAACAGCATTCGGCTTTGGAGCTCATGCACTGGCTGGGGTAAGGGCATATTTATTAATCTGATCGGCCAAATACCTAAGCCTGACGCCGACCGATTCATGCCACAACCACTCCATGAACTAACAGCATTCGGTTTTGGAGCTCATGCACTGGCTGGGGCAAATGCAGATTTATTAATCTGATCTACCAAATACCTAAGCTTGACGCCGATCGATTCATGCCACAGCCAATCCATGAACTAACAGTATTCGGCTTTGGAGCTCATGCACTGGCTGGGGCAAGGGTAGATTTATTAATCTGATCGGCCAAATACCTAAGCCTGACGCCGATCGATTCACGCCACAGCCACTCCATGAACAATATTCGGCTTAGGCAAGGGTAAAATTAGTAAATTGCCTAGCTATCTAATCGGCAAGTATACGCGAATGTTTTATCCAAAGTACAAAGGAAATTAAGCAAAAACTGTACAAAGGAAATTTAATAGCAAAGTACATTCATCAATAGCAAAAAACAATATCATTCATCAATAGCAAATTACAAAGAAATTTTTCATTAGTGAATTGGGCACAAACTGTAGCCATTTTACATGTGAAAACTACTAAATAAAAAGCTACAAGTTTGCAGGCAAATGCGTAGCAAAAACTTAAAAACTACAGCCATACAGAAAAACTACTAAACAAAAAGCTGTAGCATTACATTCAAAATCTTTAAACAAAAATAACTACTGTCGCCCTAATCAATCCTCGGAGTCAGACTCCAACGGCTCAACATCCACTTGCTCGTATGGAATCGGCATAGCCAATGTCACATTAGCAGTAGCAAGGGTTTTGAGCCAGCCGTGTTTGAATCCCTGATTCTCGAATTTGGGGACTTCTTCCACATAATTGGCAAGGGCAGCTCCTTGCCCAGCCTCATACGCCTTCGAAGCCTCAGAATCGGCTACTTCCTTCGCCTTCTTTGATTCTGCCAAGTCTGCCTCAAGTTTGGCGATCGCCTCTTGCGCTAACTTCAGCGCAGCTTCGCTCACATTCGCCTTCTGCTCGGCAGCCAATCTGAGCTGGTTTGCATTTCTGGCCCTCTCCATCTCAGCCTCGGCCCTTACAGCTTCCATTTTTGCCCTCGCCACTTCGAACTCGGCCCGACTCCTTTGGCCATCAACTTCAGATTGTAAACGGCCAATTCGTTCGATGAAGTCATGCTGGCGACGACTTATCTCAGCAATCCTTCCGATCGTCTGCAAAACAGGAGATTAAAACCAAAATATATGCATAAAAGGGAAATATATGCATAAAAGGTAAACCAAGATATTTACTAGAAGAGTCGATTGAGCGGCTAACGCTATTGCCAAAAGGTCTGGCTCCGAGTGAAAAGTCGCCTTGTCAAACGACAATGAAATTGATGAAGCCATACTCAGCGCCACGGCTGGATCTTTCATAGCCAACGCGTCAGAGGAGATCGACATATTTTTTATCTTTGGTTGAACCACAAAAGGAATAACTGTATCCGACTCCTCTAGACGCGGCTGTTTGTCCGCAGGGTCTTCTCCAGAGCCGGCCTCAAACTCGGCAGGACATTTCTCCGCCCTTCGTTCTTCCTGGCTTGCCAGCACGATCGGCTCCGACTCGGCATCTCGTGTCTGAACTGTCTCCTCAATCACAGGCAGGGGAGGCTCAACATCGGCGACGGGTGGCACTTCGGATCGAATGGCCTCTGCTCTTCGCCGCGCGGCCATTCATTCGGCATTGGCCTTTTTGGCGAGTTGTGTGAGCGACAACTCGGCCATATCTTTAGGGTACGCGCCGAAAGGTCTTCTAATCCAATAAAAACGTCGTCGTAAACTTTTTCTCTCCCCAAGGTGGACGGAGGGTTGGCTGAACTGAGGTTGGCTTCCTCAAAGGCTACCCTTAAAGCCTCGTCTACTTCGGCCTTGGACTGGCCTGATTCTTCAGCGACCTCAACTTCCGCACTCTCCGAATTGGATCCTTCGAAACCCATTTGGTGAAAGTTTTTGAATTTGGTTAAAATAGCCGTAAGAAACTCTTCACCCTTCGGAATCGGGATGTTTTCTGCTGCCGAGAAAGTCGTGTACGTCGGCTCGTATCGAAGAAGAATATGGGCTGCTCTCCCTTGTTTCTGAAGGCTTGGACAGCCAAAGTATTTCAACGCGACTTTGATCTCTGAAAGAACGCCGTCATCGGTCGAGGTCGAGACTTTCTTCAAATCGTTCCCTGCACAAACCGAACCATGAGATCTCAAAAATGAAGCTCTATAAATAAAATAAAATAAAATAAATAAATAAATAACTAAATAAATAATAAACGCAAAAAACTATACGGCCACCTGGTTCGCCCCTCCGTCTAGGAATAGGATCAAGGCGATCCTCGCCTTCGCCGAATTCCCAGTTACCTTGGACAACGACCATAACATCGTCAACTCGCTTGCTAGAGCTGAAAAGCATAGTCACTAGTTGATGGTCGATGTCCTTGGCCCTAAGGAAATAGCGTCCATGCCGACCAGAAGACTTGGCCAAGGCGTAACAATGCCGAATAGCAGGAATACTGAGGTTAATCCTCTAAGGCGACAGTTTAGCTCTATTATCCCCATTACGATTCTAAAAAGTTGACATTGGGTTGGGATGGGACTAGACCCCAATGGCGAAGGACAGCCCTAACGAATGGATGAAGCGGGAAACAGATTCCGCCCTCTGCAATTGATAGGAGAGGAAAGACGATTGTGCTTTCATCACCCCTCTCACTAGTTAATGGTCAGTGCCCTTGGTCCTAAGGAAATAACAATCGTGCCGACCGGAAGACTTGGCCAAGGCATAACAATGCCGAATGGCAGGAATGTCGAGGTTGATCCTAAGGCGACGGTTTAGCTCTATTATCCCCATTACGATTCTAAAAAGTTGACATTGGGTTGGGATGGGACTAGACCCCAATGGCGAAGGACAGCCCTAACGAATGGATGAAGCGGGAAACGGATTCCACCCTCTGCAATTGATAGGAGAGGAAAGACGATTGTGCTTTCATCACCCCTCTCCATATCGAGAGTGTCGTCTGTCACAAGCGACAGACGAACATCATCAGGGATAGAAAAATGGCGTCGAAAGCCAGAGATTCGATCCGCGGAGAGAAGGTCTTTCAGATGCTTTGCCATTACGATCAGCCTATAGGAATGTAATAAACTAAAGGCAAACTAGGAAAAGGGACTCAAAGCAAAGAGGAAGCAGAGAGGGAGAAAACTTACAAGAGACGGAGAGGACAATGAAGGATGGAAGTTGCAGAGGTGAGTCGGAAGGCAATCCAAAAACTCTTAAACGTGCAAAATGTGTGTTCAAAAAGACGACAAGATTTTAAATCACAATAAATGGAAGCGTACGAAGAGGTGGGAAGTTGAAATGATAACTGAGAGGCGTGTGCTCTGACATCTGCATCGAAATGAGGTTAACCGCCGAATTTCGGCTCTGACTTTTCGAGTTCGAAACCAAGCACTCCAGCTAACTGTCGTTAGTGAAGTGCTTGGGGGGCAATTGTGGGAGCCGAATATTAGGAGACGTAAATAGGTTGAATAATTGGACCAGGAGAGTCGAATTATGTATATCACATTCGGCCCTATTCGGCCAAATAGCCGGCGGAGTAAGAGGCCGAGTGGAAAGCGATTTGTAGTTAAAAAAGTCGAATAGTCAGTTATACGGCGAATCGAAAGTGGGCCCAACCCCGAGGCCCAAGAAAGAAAAGATATAAATAGAGGAACATCAGCTAGCAAGAGGTATGCGAGAACCATTATGCTTAACTTAAAATACAAGTAATCCAGAGTGTAGAGACTGACTTGCCTGTCAGAGTGCTAATTTCAGCACCCCTGACTGGAGTGTTTATTCTTTTTTAGGTGATTAGCTGAGGATCACGAGCGCTCTCCAAGATCAAAAGAGTATTTCTAAACCACTTCCCCATAATGCAAAAAATAAAAAATAGAAAACAAAAAAATTGGAATTCTTTTTAGTCTTTAGTGAACTTTTTTTTTTCAAATTTATTTATAAACATTATTACATTATAGATGCATCTAGATTAGATGTAGCTAAAAACATAAAAACAAATTTAACTAAAAAAGGAAAAAAAAATTACTAAAGACGAAAAAAAATGAAAATATACTGACTCAAACACCTGTATTGTCAATTCTGAAATGAAAAATTTATTATCATTTTTTTTCGTCTTTAGTGAACTTTTTCTCTTTTTAGTTAAATTTATTTTTATTTTTTTAGCTGCATTTAATCTAGACGCATCTATAATGTAATAATGTCTATGAATAAATTTGAAAAAAAAAAAAGGTTTACTAAAGACTAAAAAACAATTCCAATTTTTTTTGTTTTTTATTTTTTATTTTTTGCATATTAGTGAATTTTTTAAATCACATATTGAGCTGATGTGTTAGTGATGTAACAAATTCTGTTGCTTTTTTGAATGGAAGTTAGTTTAGGAGTAAAGTGGGAATGATTGCAAACATGAAAGCTAAAGTGAAAAGGATTCGAAACACGAAAAGTCAAAGTAGGAAAAATCAAACTTAAAATACCAAAGTGAGAAGGATTGCAAACATAAAGGACCAAAGTAGGAATAATTGTAAATATAAAGAGGCAAAGGGAAAATAAAATTTAAAAAGCCCAAAATAAGAAATAAGTAAAACTTTAAGGGACAAAAAGTAATTTACTCAATTAAATTTGTATATCATTTTCGTAAAGGGAAACACTAACATACTGATTTTAGAGCAAATGATGTGTATTTTCCTATTTTATAAACTTAAAAATAGAAAACAATTGAATCCATACGTTTTGAATTCCAACCAAAACACGAGTAAAATTTCAACATAATTATGTCATCATTGACCCATAATGTTACCATCCACTCTTAATATAACCATAAGGAAATTATTCAATACTCTTAAAATATGTTTAAATGGTATTTTAATATTTTATTTAATTGAGAGATTTAAAAAAAAAAATTAGAAATTTTTTTTTTTGTATAAAATTAGATAAAATATAAGTATATTTTATACATATTTTACCTTTTGTTTTCTTTTTTTTTTCAAATCATTTTTTAAATTTTCTAACTAAACACAGCATAAATGATCAGTTATTGATTTAAATGGTAGAACTCATCACTTTTATATTGGACTTTTAAAAAATAAAATGTTAAATATAAATTAAATAATATTACATGTACTAATTAATGTATTAATTAATATATCAATTGATAATATTACATAATTCAATTTATTAATGAAATAAAAGCAATACTGCTAGAGTATTGAATAATTACTCGAAAAGTAAACCTCACGCCAAACCATAAAATGTTTATATATATGGTTTGCACATAACCAACAATAGTACTCTCAAATCTTTCCCATACCCAGAACAAAACAAAAAAGCAAACAATGGAGGAAACTTCACCATCACCTTTTTTTCTTCTTCTTCTTCTTCTTCTTCTTCTACTTCCTCTATCAATGGCAGCGTCAGACTATGACACTTTTGTTCAATGTCTCTCAAACCAATCAATCCCACAAAACCAAATCTCCACCATAGTCTATGCTCAAAACAACCCATCATTCACCACCATCCTCCAATCCTACATTCGAAATCGCCGCTTCGCCACCGCCGCCACCCCAAAACCACTCATCATCATCACCCCCCTCTACGAAACCCATGTTCAGGCCGCCGTTCTCTGCTCCAAACTCACCGGAAAACAGCTCAAAATCCGCAGTGGCGGCCACGACTACGACGGCCTCTCCTACGTCACCGCCGCCGGCGTCCCCTTCATCATCCTTGACACGTTCAACCTCCGCTCCATCTCTCTCGACACCACCACCAACACCGCCTGGGTCCAATCCGGAGCCACCCTTGGCGAACTGTACTTCAAAATCGCATCGATCAGCAAAACCCACGGTTTCCCCGCCGGAGCTTGCTCCACCGTCGCCGTCGGCGGCCACCTCGGCTGCGGCGGCTACGGCAACATGTTGCGAAAGTACGGGTTATCGGTCGATAACGTGCTCGATGCTCGAATTGTCGATGTTAATGGCCGGGTTTTGGATCGGAAAGCAATGGGTGAGGACTTGTTTTGGGCGGTGGCCGGTGGCGGGGCCGCCAGCTTTGCGGTGGTGCTGTCGTATAAAATTATGCTTGTTCCGGTGCCCGAAACTGTAACGGTTTTTCGGGTTGAGAAGACATTGGAACAGAATGCGACAGACATTGTTTATCGATGGCAATTCGTGGCGAACAAGACTGATAATGATTTATTTGTTAGGCTTCTTATACAACCAATTGTTAACAAGCAAACCGGTAAGAAAACAATTAGAACATCCTTCATTTCATTGTTTCTTGGTGATTCAAATAGACTCATGACGGTGATGAACAGAGACTTTCCTGAATTGGGTTTGCAAAAACAGGATTGTATGGAAATGAGTTGGATTCAATCTGCGCTTTACTGGGCAAATTTCGACCCAAACAACTCCACAAATGTGTTGCTAGATAGAACCTATGCGGCTACATTTTCGAAAAGAAAATCAGATTATCTCCAAACTCCGATTTCCAAAGTCGGGTTGGAATCGATTTGGAACAAGATGATGGAATTGGGAAAAACTGGATTTGTGTTCAACCCATATGGAGGGAGAATGGGTGAAATCCCGGCGGCCGCGACACCGTTCCCTCACCGGGCCGGGAACATATTCAAAATCCAGTACTCATTGAATTGGGATGAGGAAGGTGTTGCGGCGGAGAACCAAAATTTGAATCAAGTTAGAGAGCTATACAGTTTCATGACTCCATTTGTGTCAAAGTTCCCTAGAGAATCATTTCTGTGCTACAGAGATGTTGATATTGGAATCACACAGAATGGGAAGGATAGTTACAGTGAAGGTAAGGTGTTTGGGGAGAAGTATTTTAAGGGTAATTTTGATAGGTTGGTGAAAGTGAAGACCATGGTTGATCCACAGAATTTCTTCAGAAATGAACAGAGCATCCCTCCATTTTCATCTAAGAAGTGATCATGAGAGGAATGTAGAGATGGCGAGAGAGATTGGCGTGTCTCAGTTTTAGTTTCATGCTAATTGCTTTGATTATACCAATCAGTAAAAGTTTTGTTGTGCTACCTAAATGCATGGCAATAATTTAACATTTATAAATGAAAGATTTAAAATTTAAATGAGAGGTCTTCACAAGGGTGCAAGTTGTATGTGAATGAGAATATAAGCATTTCCCTAAACTAAAATGAATTTAAAGATACACCTTTGATTGCTTTATGAAGTCCTAATCTATATTAGATATTAAGAAAAATGAGATTTTTTAATAAGAGGAGTTGTGAAACTCTAAACTTTCGTACTTCTTTTTAGAATTCTTATTTTTTAAATAATTAAAAAAACGTCAATAGGTTTACTTTTATTGAATTATTAAAAAATCTTATTATGTCTTGATTTACACATTTCAAAAAGAAACTTAATTAATCCATTTATAAATTTAAATTTAAATTTAGAAATTTGAAAATGAAAGTTAACTAATCAGTTTTAAAATTTCTTAAAAAATATTCTAGCTCTTATTGAATCATTTAAAAAAAAAAATCATATTATATCTTAATTTACAAAATTCAAATGAAAGTTAATTAATTAATTTATAAATTTAAATTTAGAAATTTGAAAAGGAAAATTAACTAATCAGTTTTTAAAAAAAATTAAAAAAAATCTCAGAGTTTATTGAATCATTTAAAAAAAAAATTGTTATGTCTTGATTTACACATTTCAAAAAGAAATTTAATTAATCTATTCAAAAAATTTAAATTTAGAAATTTGAAAATTATCAGTTTTTTAAATTTAGATTTTTGTACCACTAAAATATATGAATCAATTCACATCTTCCATAGTTTATTTCTCTTAATGTTTAATTTTTTAAATATTTAAAAAAATCTTTTATTAACTAACTTTTATTCCCTTATAATGTGATTGATGATCCCTTTTAAGAATTTACTTAGAGCATCTCCAACGGTAGTAGGCATTTTACCTATCTGAATATTACTATAAAGTATATATTTTATTTTGCCTATCAACTGTTTTATGTTTTTACTCCAACCATGCTCTTTATTTTAGCTATTTATCCAAATACTATTAATTTTATAGAATGCCACGTCAACAACAAAGATGGAGGGAAATGATCCTAATGAATGAATACATTTTGCCTAGCGTTAAAGGCTAGCTACATATAGCTAGTGAATATGAGTTGAGGCAAAATGCCTAATCATATGCCTAGTGCATTGGAATTGAAAAAAGTGAATTACACTAGGCATTTTAACTAACAAGTATTATATGCCTAGTGCATTGGAGATGCTCTTATCCCATCAAATATTATATAGGTTTTTTTTAGACAGTGTGTATATCAATACAATAAAGAATCTAAACTTCCTTTCAAACATTGATGATGTAGCTGGTTCATGGTTTTGGGTAGATATTTTGAAAGAAAAAATAAAAAGGTCTTTGAAATTAGGTAAAATGTTTTTACATTTTATTCACATTTCACCTATCTTTTTCTTTTTTCATTCCAATTTTCAACTCAAATCCATGAATCAAACATTAACATAAAGTTTGGTTCATATTTTCCATACTGAAATTTTGAATTAATATTACTTTTTAAAATTGTGTTTTACAAACCCTTATTACACATGTCTTTCCATATAATAATGATTGAAATTTATTTTAGTTACTATATCAAAAATTAATTATAAAGTCAATGAAAATATATAGGTCTTAAAATTTTGAAGTAAAAATTTTATGTCGGAATTTGTTAAAACGTAATTTTCTTAATATTTACAATTTTTTTTTTTATTGATTGATAAAGATTTTTTTTATTTTATTTTTTATTTTTATGATATTGAAGTATTAGAATATGATGTATTATATCTTAAGCCAATAATCATTGGAAAAAAATCGATTTGAAATAAATTTTCTAGACTCATTTTTAATATTTAATTCAATATTGGAACCTCCAAAATAACTCATACCAGTCACAAATTGATAAATACAATTTTTAATGATTACGTGAAGGTCGCATTAGCATACATATAAATGAAATGTATTTATATTTTATTGTAAATATAATCTTGTAATTTATTCTTTAATTTTTACTAATTCAATTATAACATGCAATTTTTTATTAAGAATTTAGAACACACAATTAAATTAATGACATAATAATAAAAATCTTCTCTTATATGTAACTCTAATAAAAATAAATAAAATTTAATTGATTATAAACTATTTTTACTACTTAATTTAAATAAAATTTATATTATTATTTTAATTTAAAAACTAATTTTTGATTATTTATTTACGCACAACTAATATGCTAGTAGTAAGGCTGTATATAAATATTCACTTTAAAGGCCCAATACTTCAGCTTAAAAAGCCCACCACTTTTGGCCCAAAGTCTTTGCCTTCCAAAAAGCCCAATCAAGGTACAACCCACCATCTTATGGAAATTCCAGTAACTTGATGACTATCAGCTAGCCATGGCCCAAAAATTCATTTATTTCAAGGCTTGACAAATAAACAAGTTAAAGGCCCACAATTTATTTTATTTTATTTTTTTTTTTTTAGAGTTAATTACAATTTATCTCCTGTAGTTTGATCCAAAAACATATTACCTCATTCTAATTTAGAAATATATACTTAACTCCTTTGAGATTTGGAGTGAAATTTAAAAACTAATCTGTTAACCATATTTGTAAAATATCTATATTACCTTAATTTTTTACTCAAATTTTCTTTTATATGCCATTACAACTTCAAAACCAGATTTTTCACTTTCTTTCCTTCTCTTGTCCTTTCTGCTTTCTTCACCTGCTACCTCATGGCCAACACCTTTTTCTAGCTAAAAGAATCAATTCAAAAAGAATTTTTCTCGAGTAGACACCCATTGATTTTTTTTTATTTATTTATTTTTTTTTCTTTTTCTTGAATGGAAATGAAGCAGCAACCGAAAGGAAGTCGGCATTTGTACAAATGAATGATGGAATTTGTTTGTTTCTACTCTCGTGTGTGTGGCTAATCTGAAGGCCACGTAGCCAGTCCAAATCTGTTTTGCAAACAAAGAAGAAACCAGTATTACACCATTGCAAACAAAGAAGAAACTAGTGTTACACCGTTACATCATTCTTACATTCTTTTTATAGATGTTATAGATTATTATTTTTTCCTTTTTTTTTCATGAAAGTAGCCATGGCTGTCCCCCAACCAAACCAAGCAGAAAGACCACACATGCCCATATATATATATGTGTGCGTCTCTTCTGCAACCATACTGAAAATTAAAGAAAAATGAGAGGGAAGAGATAATGGGTAGTGACAAGAAAAAATAGAAGGGAAGGGTGGAGTGGGTTGACTGATGCTGTACAGCATTAACAGGCGGTAAAAAATAGAATAATATTAGGGATTATAAAAAAATATCATAAAATATTTTATGAAAAAATTTTATTCTTTAATCAGTATATGGTGTTTTCTTATATGTGTAATCTAACTATAAAAAATCTTTCATGATCATTTTCATAATACGTGGCATTACTCTAAGAAAATAAATTAAAAATTAAAAATGTCGGTTATCAATCTAATTTGGGCCCAATATTTGCCACACTCGTTTAAGTGAACACGTGCGGTTGTTAACTTGGACAGAATCCGTTACTTTACACTTTATTTCAAACAACAAGGAGATTAACGACTCGTTTAGTAATTTTTTAATTTTTTAATTAGAAGGTGGTATAAAAAAAATTAATTAATGTGTTTGGTTTGAGTTTTTTGGATTAAGTTTTTTGAAAATTAAGTTTTTTGATTTTCGTATTTTTTTGTTTTTAGTGAATATTTTAACATTTTAAACATTTTTTTTTACTTTTTTAGATGCACCTTACTTAGATGTATCTAAAAAGTAAAAAATTTGTGAAAAAATATTTTAAAAAATTAATAAATACATAAAAATACAAAAAATGTACATAATTTTCGTTTTTTTTTTGTACTTTTAGTATTTAGTGAATTTTTAAAAAGTTTTTTCACAATTTTTTTACTTTTTAGGTATAATTATGTTAGTCATGTCTAAAAAGTAAAAAAATTTACTTAAAATATTAAAAAAATTCAGTAAAATAAAAAAACACGGAAAATAAGAAAGTAGAATTTTCTAAAAACTGTTTTTGGAAAAATAGAACCAAATATAGTGGTGGAATAATTTTTTAGCTTTTTACGAAAAGATGTGCAAAAAGTAAAGAGAAAATAGAATCTTTGACTTTTTGATATGAATTGTTGACTTTTTAATTTTTTTAGTGATTTTTTAACTTTTTAGCTAAAAAAACCACTTGCCAACCGAGGCCTAAGGGTATATTTTTAACTATGAGGTGATATTGTGTTTTTCGACCAAATTACAAGGAGGTAAAATATAATTATTTATTTATTTATTTATTTTTCCAATCAATAGAGGTAAATTATTAATTATAAATGTAAGAAGCATCATATCTAATTAGAAAATGAAAATATCTATTTATATATTATATAAGAAAAATGGTGCTTTTAGTGATGAATCTTGTGAGAGTTTCTCATAGTAATTTTCTTAATTTTCTTAATCTTAAATAATTAAGAAAATCTCCATTGGCTAGCTTTTATTTGATAATCCCACATCGGAAAAAAAGGAAAAAAAATGAGTTGTTTTATTCATATAAAGAGAATCTTATACTCCCAGCCCGTTTAGTGAGGAGCCTTGTGAGAGTTTCAATATCTCATACTAATTTTCTTGATTTTATTAATTTTAAACAATTAAGAAAATCTTCATTGGTTAAGTTTTATTTGATAATTCCATATCGGGAAAAGAAGGAAAAAAAAATTATTTTACTCATATAAAATGAATCTTATACTCCCATCCCATTTAATATTGTAGTGTTGTGCATGTTTCAATTCAATATAGTTTAAATTTTAAAAATTTTAATTAATTAATTAATTATGACCTAGCCGATTAGGCTAAATCATTCTTGATTTGATTGATTTGTTGGTTTAACCGCGATTTTAGCAATTTTATCAAAATATATTGATTAGATTTGTTTGGTTCGAAATAAACTTAAAGAATGAAAGACTGAATCTTATGCTCTCATTTATATAAGTAAAATTAGATTTT